ATAACATTATTTCCAAAGCAGGTTGCTTTGAGAAGTGCTCTGCGCCCCGCCCCTCCTAGCGCTTCAGGGTGCTGGGAATGGAATCTGAGGCATGTGACATTGCCTGTCCTGAAGTCCTGCTCAGACCAATTTAGCCGCGTGAGCTCAGCTTGGGTAGGAATCGTGCCAGTTAGCTCTGGAAAAAGTAAGACCACATTACTTCCAGAGAAAGTAAACTTAGTTGGCCGGTAAGAGAGCCAAGAAGTGTTGGAAAGTATCTGGCATATGAAGGAATGACATCACTGCTGATGGCAACAAGTGGAAAAACCTTTCTTCCCCTCCAGTTTGAAAAGATAAGAGAATTGGTTTTTCTTCAAGGGTCTCACTTCTTCTTCAAGGGCTGGTCCAAGAGACTTTCCTCCTTCCCTCCTCCCCTCTAGCCCTCTTGGGACAGGACAGTTCAGCTTGTAGTACACTGTCATCCTTACACTTGTTGCGCAGTTGGTCTGCTTAAAACTGATAAGAATAGCGAGAGATTCTTGTTTACCCAGTACTCACTAAGTGCTTAGGAAAGTAAACAACCAAGTAGGAAAATTTGAGAAGAAACAAAAATTCCTCTTCATTATAGAAAGCCAGACTTTTACTTTAAGGGAAATCTGTGGAGATTATTGAAGAATAAAATTCACATAAAGGGGCAAAAACGAGTTAGGTAAAGGCAGGTTAGCCATCTCCTTTTACTAATCTTGAACTGACTTTGAACTGCTGTTTACTAGGTCTGAAAATGAGTTCTCCATTACACGTGCGAGTCTCCAACTCCTTTCTTTATCTGCCCTCTGGTGGACACAGTGCAGAATTGCCAGTGGGAAGGGGGAAAATAAAGGCACCATTAGGAAGACTCTCCCAAGAATCTAGGGTCCACCATGTTTTTGCCTCTGATCTCCATGCCTTACCGTGCTGGATTTATTTTCTGTTGTTTACATATAATATCTCTAGGACTCACCCCCCAATTTCCCAAACATGAAAATATTTGATGAAAAATTTTGATTTTGGTTGTAGTATTTAGGGTTGAATTCAAGGGCCTCATGTGTGGCTCTTGCACCTGAGCCATGCCCTCAGCCCTTTTGCTCTTAGTTTTGCAGATAGGGGCTCACATTTCTTTTCCCTCCGACTGCCTCCAACCATGCTCCTCCTACCTTTGCCTGCCAAGTAGCTGGGGTTACAGGTGGGCACCACCATGCCCATCCATATTTTATATAATTTGAAGACCTACAAACCTAGGTAGCCTCCAACATCCAGAAGTGACCTGTTTGGATGTATCTCTGAGATCCTCCAGTAGATATTTACCTTCTCCAGGTTTCCTGTGTCCATCTCTCCCACACCCATACCTAGCCCCCTTCCCACCCCCACACCCCATCCTAAACACAATCCTTCATTCTTTACTACCCCAGCCATACCTACAGGAGGCTGGTGAGTCTGGCAAATATTAACAGAAGATTGGCAATGGTGAAAAGGAAACAGTATAAAATAAAAATCAGTGGCCATGGCTCCTCACACCACTCTCCTTTTGGGGGAGGGGGGGGTCTTCTCGCTGGCTGGATCTTCTTTGGCTGGAGCTTCTCCTGTCTACAAGATCCTTCTTCTTCCTTCGGTTGATCCTTCTGCCCTTCACCAGTCCCCACCATCCATTAATGCTCTCCCATGAGACCTTTGGTTCTCCTGTTCCTAAGCTGAACTCCTCCTGATACTTGGCTTTACCTCTTCTGCTTGGAAAGGTGCTCCGGTTTCCATCTCTAACAGTACAGCTAGCCAGAGAAAACTTTGAAATTACTATTTGGGATCCAGTTTGTATGCACAGCAATCACAGCACCTAAAGCACACTGGAAGTGGTCTTCATGTGACAGCACTGATCCAGTGCTTTGTTGTGAATGCCCTTCCTGGTGCTGCCAGAATAGCCCTTCTCTCCTCTCCTCACCCAACCTGAGAACTGCTGTGCCAAGCTGATCATCTGAGTAACACAGCTTCATGATGATGGACTAGTGCTAAGACAGTTTGAAAGCTGGAATATTTGGGTTGGAATTCTGCCTTCCTTCTGACTAGGTCTATAGCCTAGGACACATTTTGTAATGGACTTGAACTGTCTGTCTCTGAAGCATCTATTTTTCTTATTCCTATCTTCCAGCCCCCACCCCCACCCTCACCTTCCCCCTCATTTCCAGGGAAATTCGTGTTTCCCTAACTGCAGAATTGAAGGCGTAGTGTCATAATTAAATGTTATGTCTCTATGGGGTTTGGTTAATCATGTCTAAATGGAGAAATACTTTCTCACAGTTGCATTGATTTATTTCTTTCATACCCCAAAGTACACAAAGTTTAACAACACCTATTTCCCAGAAGATGGATTTCTGTACCCACTCCCCTGAGACTGACAACTTCAGTGGCTCCAGGAAGCCTATTTCTCCCTATAGATGGTTAACTTCCTTCAAGACCTGAGGGATGACATATCCTTCCATGGCACATGGCCAAATGATTTCTGGGAAGTTTCTGAACACACATTTCATTGAAGAGGAAACGGGGATGACCTAGAAACAATGAAAAGCTGCTTTACTTAAGGGAAGTACACATTGGAATTGCAAAGATTTCAATTAACCAGATAGGTCAAAATATAAAAATACTAAGAATCAGGGCTGTCCTATATACTGCTGATGGGAGCCAAAATTGAACAGTCTACAGTGTATAGAACACTGTGTAAAAGTTGGCATCATAATGTGAAGTTGAAAATGAACATATCCCAGGTGGCATTAACATCACTGACTATTTTTCAAGAAACTTTTAGATGTGGGCCCTGAAAGACATGCACAAGAATGTTTGGTGACTCATTGCTGTAATAGCAAGACTGAAAATAACTGATGAATCCACACACAGAAGGCGGAAAAAGTGATGTATTTACTTAGTGTGTTCCAAATGCAATAAAAATAAGTTATAGCTACACCCAGATGGGATACAATGTGGATATTTCTAAAAATCATAGTTCTGAGTAAGAAAGGACACTTGTAGAATACCTACCAAATATCAGTTATATAACATTCAGAAATATGCAATAATTATACATCACTTAGAGATATATCAACACAGAAACATCGGAGTGAAAAAAAAAAAACTCATGGGAAGAAGACATTGTTCAGAAGGTTGAAGGATACTGAGAAGTTAAGTATATTATTTAGGGCCAAATCCAGTGGTGGTTATATGGATGTTTGTTTTTCAACTTTACATTATATATTCTTTTTTATGTTTGAAACACATTGTAAAATTCTTACTGTGACATATAAAACACATTCTAATATTCTTATTGTGAAATATATACATATAGAAACATATAAACATAAGCCAGTAGCTGGTGGCTCATGCCTCTATTCCTAGCTTCTCAGGAAGCTGAAATCTGAGGCTCAAATTTCAAAGCCACCCTGTGTAGGAAAGTCCCTGAGACTTTTTTTTTTTCTTTTTTGTCCATTGTGGGGTTTGAACTCTGGGCCTGAGCACTGTCCCTCAGCTCTTCAGCTCGAGGTTAGTGCTTTACCACTTGAGACACAGTGCAACTTCCAGCCTTTTCTGTTTATATGGTACTGAGGAATGGAACCCAGGGCCTCATATATGTGAGGCAAGTGCTGGACCACTGAGCCACCTTCCCAGCCCTCCCTGAGACTCTTATCTCGAATTAACTAAGAAAAGCTGGAAGTGGAACTGTGGCTCATGTTAAAGTGCCAGCCTCGAGGGAAAAAGCTAAGGAACAGCACCTACGTGCTGAGTTCAAGTTTCAATACTCACACATGCAAACAATATTTATAGCTATGTATATAGATATTACATAAAATTTAGTATTTTAACCTTTGTTTTGTGTGCTCATATGGTAGGTGAACTCAGGCCTTAAGTTCTCTTTTTTTTTGGGGGGTGGGGGTGGTCGTCGGGTCTGAACTCTGGGCCTGGGTGCTGTCCCTCAGCTCTTCAGCTCAAGGCTAGCGCTCTACCACTTGAACCACAGCGCCACTTCCAGCTTTTTTTCTTTTTGCTTATGTGGTGCTGAGGAATCAAACCCAGGGCCTCAGGCATGCAAGGCAAGCGCAATACCACTGAGCCACCTTCCCAGCTCCTTATGTTCTCTGTTGCTCACAACTAGCTCTCTAGTCATGTTTCCAAGTCTGGCATTTTGCTATTTAATTGAAGATGGAGTCTTGAGGACTTATCTGGCAGGGCTGGCTTTAACCCATGATATTCACATCTCAGCCTCCTGAAGAGCGAGGATTATGAGTCATGAGCCTCTGGCACCTGACACTTTGTTTTTTGGAACCAGTTTAAGTGTATGGGGGGTTTTGTTGCACAAACAACCACTGCTGTCCATCATCCCAAACTGTGCATTTGGTTTCATAGTAAAAAAATAAATCATTGCCAGGTCTAATGCCATGATGTTTCTGCCCCATGCTCTCTTCTCAGTGTTGGAGTTTTAGCTCATACATTTGTTTTCCTTCCTTTTACATTGCAGTCGATTTTTAAACAAGAAGACAAAAAGCATCAAAAAAGATAGTTCCAGGAGGGACCCTCCCTGTTTAACAAGAAGAAGATACAGGAATAAGGGAAGAATAAGAAGCCAAATTCACCAAGCTAAAGTCATCAGGGGAGCTAACAAAACAACGAATCCTGACTTGACAGCTGGGCGCCAGCCGCAGCTGCCAGCCCTAGGTCCGGTTCCAACTCTCACTGGCTCCCGCCCACCCGCCCAGCCGCCTCGGAGCGCCGATATTCAGAAAACATGGCACCGGATTGTAGTTAGCCGTCGCTGTCAGCAGCTGGTTGAAAGGCTCCGTCATGCTCCTACTCCTCGCCGGGTTTTTGCTCGCTCCAGTAGGGCCCTGGGCCCGCCCAGAAGAGGGGCGGGGTAAATGGCGCGTAGTCATCTCTGATTGGCTGATCCGCGTAGCGTGGGACTGGGCGGGAATTTCGTGGGCTCCGCGGGCGCCGAGAGTGGCGGGATGGCTCTGCGGTGGCGGTTGCGATCTCCGAGACCTCCGGGGTGAGTGCGGCCGGCGCCCCGAACGTTCCGAGCTCTCCGTGCGGCGGTTCTGCCGCAGTCTGTACTTCCAGGAGGCATCTGTGCGTGCGGGGCCTCAGTGTACACGTCTGTACGGCCGTGCGGGGAGGAGGGGCGGGACTACAGGCAGGGTACTAGTCCTGGAGCCCGGGAGACGTTCCCAGGCGGAGTAGAGGTCTGCAAGTCTTCTGTCTGTTTAACTCCGTTGTCTTTGCCGTTAAAAAGACAGAGCAGGCTGCGAAGGTGGCTAGCATGCATGAAGTCCCGGGTTCGATTCCTCAGTGACACGTAAACAGAATAAGCTGGAACGGGTGCTGTGGTCGAGTGGTGGAGCGCTAGCCTTGAGCAAAAGAAGCTCAGGGACAGCGCCCAGGCCCTGAGTTCAAGCCCCAGGACTGACAAAAAAAGTGGGGGGAGGCAAAACAAAAACCCAGCACAGACCAGAGAGCTGAGAACCAAGCTGCTGTTTGTTGGCTGCTTTGCCCTAAATCCTAAATGCTGTAAGGGAATTCCATGGTGGCCCAGGCATGTTAATTTTATTAAAAGGCACGGTGAATGTAACGATAGGCTATATGTTTAAAAGACAGATTGCAAAACTGCACTCTAAAAGGTTAATCTACAAGCGACTCTGGCCTTGTCTGGCCTTGTCTGGATGGCATCTTAGACTAGGCCTGGATCTGGCTGGAAGACTTTTGGGGAATTAAATGTACTCCTCAGGAGTTCTTCCATGGAAACTCTGGAGGGTGTCTGTAGATGTTGGAGTAGCCGACCAGGAAGGTGAACAAAACCCAGACTGCGCTCTGTGGCCAATGGGGAAGAGAATTACGAAGGAATATAGCAGCATAGCACATCAGCTGACCAGCTGAAAAGAGTTAAAGCATATCTAACTGACCAGTGAGATTTATTATCTTAAAGTTTTTTTTTTTTTGAGGGGCGGAGGATTCAGACACAGGATTCACCTTTCTGTCTCCTAAAACACACTAAGTGCACCTTAACATAGTTTTATTTATGATTATGACAGAAGTTTCCGTGTTTTGGAAGCTCCACCTGGAGTCCAGCCTAGTAAACACGAGTTTATCGTCATCGAGACACAGGTGAAAGAATTTCGGTTAAGTTTATACTTGCAACATTCAGAAGTCACTTTCCTTAATTCCCAGGATCCATTCAGGATGTTGTCCTGTGTGCGTGCGTGCGTGCGTGCGCGCGCGCACGTGCACGTACAATCAATTTTTAACAAGCCCTTCAGATGAATCATTGATAGCTTTTGATTTCTGCTTTATACATGCAGGGCAAGTGCTCTGCCACTGACCTCTAGTTGGGAAACCACTGCTCTCAAGTGTTCCTTTAAAAAAAAAAATTCTAAGCTGGGCGCAGGTGGCTCACACCTATAACCCTAGGTACTCCGGAGCCTGAGATCTGAGGATCTCCATTTAAAGTCAGCCTGGCAGGAAAGTCCATGAAACTCTTATCTCCAATAAACCACTCAGAAAACCGGAAGTGGCGCTGTGGCTCCAGTGGTAGAGGGCTAGCCTTGAGCTGAAGAGCTAAGGGACAGTGGCCAGGCTAGGGTTCAAGTCTCATGACCAACCAAAAAAAAATTCTGCAATTCACAGTAAGATTTTACTTAAAAAGTAGTACACATGTGTTTGTACTCACACTAATACACAAAAAAACCAAACAAGACTTATGGAAATACTACATCCAGTGAAATCCTGTATTTTATATTCTTCTGTGTTTCCTTTTAACAAAATTGAAACCATTGAAACTTTACAGGACATTATAAGGCAATTGATGGAGTTTAGGTATTGACTGTATAATTATAACAGTATTAAATTTTTTTACTTGAGAAATTATAGGATGATTATTCAAGAAATATTTAGGGCTGCAGTGTCTTAGAATTACCACAGATACAAATATACAAACAGAGAACAGTATAAACAGTAGATAGATGTGGACAAAAGTTTGGAAGGTCCTTGTGCTAGTTTTGCTAATTTTCCATAAGTGTAAAATTATATGAAGTAAAAGGAAATACTGGTTCAGATGCACTAAATTGGTTTTACTCCCTACAAATGGGTACTTGAAGAATATGGTTTTAGTGTGCCTGCATATTTTAGGTCAGGGACTCTGCATTGTGTTATTCCAGTTATTCTAGTACCCTTTGGCAATGGCTGGTTCATAGAGGAAGCTCAGTCCATACTCACTAGAGACTAACTACAATTATTATTATTTTAATATTTTTGTTTATTTTTTGGTTGGTCATGGGGCCTGAACTCTAGGCCCTGTCCCTCAGCTCTTCAGCTCAAGGCTAATATTAGCTCTACCACTTGAGACACAGCGCTACGTCCGGACTTTTCTGCTTATGTGATGCTAAGGAATCGAACCCAGCTCCTCATGCATGCAAGGCAAGCACTCTACCACTGAGCCACCTTCCCAGCCCTATTTTAATATTTTTTATTTTTATTTTTAGCAGTCATGGGGCTTGACCTTTGGGCCTAGGCACTGTCCCTGAGCTCCTTTTGCTTAAGGCTAGCAGTCTGCCACTTGAGCCACAGGAGTGCCACCTCCTGCTTTTTCTGTGATTAATTGGAGATAAGACTCAGGAACTTTCTTGCCAGGACTGGCTTCAAATGGATCCTCAGATCTCAGCCTCCTGAGTAGGTAGGATTATAGGCAAGCTACTAGCAGTTGGCTTACAGTTATTAATATGTATTTCCTGCCACTGTTCTTTCTAGTTTTTTTTTGTAGTCACTATTGTTGCATTCGTTTGCTTTAACCTTCCAAGAAAAAAAAATATAGCTTTATCCTTTTTCTTTTATTGCCCATCAGAGGGAAGAATAAGTGGGTGGGAAGTAAGACAGCAGGTTCCAGATCTGAAGCAGTGCGGATTTTAGTTAAGGCCTTCCTTCTACCTGTGTACTCCTTTGGACAAGTATTCCTTTGTAACATGGGCATGCCTTCCACCTCCCCCTGTCATTAGAGTTAAATGAGAAAATTTAGTAAGAGAGCCAGGCCTGGGATAGAAAAGGCTGCTCTGTTTGGTCAGTTCTGCAGTCATTCCCGACTAGCTGATTAGGCCAGAAGGATGAGGATCACAGCAGGAGACTTTTCCCAGCCTACAGAGCTAAGGCTATTTTCTAGTTGTTGAATTTATAGAATACAGGTTCTGTTTTCTAAAAGATTATCCATAATTCAAGTTCCATTGGATGCAAACTATTTGTGCTACTACTGCAGAATATAATTTTGGAAGAAAATGCTTGGAAGTTATGGGACAGTTATTTAGCTTTTTTTCTAACTTCTCATCTTATTTTTGTTGTTGTTTGTTGTATAGTAGTACAGAAAATCCAAAGAACACTGCAGGAAGAACACATTTCATGAAAGATGTAAGTAAGCCATTCGTATTTTAACATAATTTTCTCACTGTTGACCATGACAGAACATGTTGAGAGAATTTCAGTTTTGTAAGTTTTTTTTTTTTTTTGGTATGACCAATTTTTTTTAATTGGGAAAAAGAGTTCCCAATATAGCAGAGAAAACAGCCTTCGTTAACGTTTTAGAACTTTCTGTCTGACTCGTCTTGATTTAAGTTATATTCAGATAACGGACACATAAAATTATATAGCTGATGAGTATGATGGCTGAAGCCTGTAATCCTAGCTACTTGGGGAGATTATGGTTTCAAGGTCAGCTCAGGCATAAGAAAGTTCATGAAACTCCATCTCAATCAGTGACTCAATCAATGGGCACACCTTTTATCCCAGCCACTCGGGAAACACAATAACTGGGCGTAGTGACATATGGCTTCATCCCTAGTGACATGGGGAAACACCAGAAGGATCACAGACCAAGATCACAGACCAGGTCAACCCAAGTGCAAAGTGAAACCCTGCCTCAAAAAATAACCATTGCCACTGGGCACCAGTGGTTCACCCCTGCAATCCTAGCTACTTAGGGGGCTGAGATCTGACGACTACAGTTCAAAGCCAGCCTGTGCAGGAAAGTCTGTGAGACTCTAGTCTCCAATTAAGCACCAAAAAAAAAAAAAAAAAGCCAGAAGTAGAGCTGTGGCTCAAGTGGTAGAGTGCCAGCCTTGAGTTCCTTGAAACTCAGGGATAGCACCGAGGCCCTGAGTCAAAGCCCCAGGGCCAGCACTAAATAAATAAGTAATGCAAAAAGGAGCTAGAGACTTGGCTCAAGTGATTGAGTGCTTTTTAGCAAGTGCAAGTTCCCAAGTTCAATCCTCAGTTCTACAGAATAATAATAATGTGAATGCTACTTTCTCTCCCATAAACAGTTTCTATCCCATGTACTCCCCAAACTGTTTATAACCAGTCAGGTAGATTGCATATTTCTGAGAAAATTCAGGCCTAGACTTGGGGTTTAGGCTTGCTGTAGCTTGTGTACATATCTAATCTGCCTCTTCCTTTTATTCAGCTGATCCACTAAGAATCACTATTTCATTTTTAAATGGTATGAAGTTCCCATTTGATCCCATTTTCGTGGGCAGATAGAAAGTCTGGCTGGAATACAGCCTACTCCATTCCTTCCTGAGTGATTGCTATCTATACTATACACTATACTGGCCAAGTTGGATAGTTGCAAAAGAAACCTAAGGGCCAATTCTTCAGTCCTGTGCAGAATCAGTTTGCTAATCGCTGCCTTAGATTATCAAGGTAGTCTATGTACCTCCCCCAAATGCCACGTATTTCTTTGGACAGCAGTGCTAGCAAGAGTATCCTTGCTAAGTAAATCATGGTTGGAGTGTTCCTTGTGTGTGCCCATTCAGTGATTTTGACTCTATTCATTTTTAGAAAGCCACTCAAGAGCACAGGCCTATTGACACCTTTGACTTTCCTGAGAATTCTGTGATCTCCAGAAATGAGAAAGATGAAGAACCTTATGAAAACTTTGGTTAGTGTTTTTTTGTTTTTTGGGTTTTTTTTTTTTGGGGGGGGGTTGTGGAGCTTGAACTCTAAGCCTGGGTGCTGTCCCTCAGCTCTTCCACTCAAGGTTAGCACTCTGCCACTTAAGCCACAGTACCACTTCTTGTTTTTTGAGTGGTTTATTGGAGATAAGAGTCTCACAGACTTTCCTGCCCAGACTGGACTTCCCTGCCCAGGCTGGCTTTGAACCTGATCCTCAGATCTCAGCCTCCTGTGTAGCTAGGATTATAGGCATTAGCCACCAGTGCCCGGCTCCATTAGTGTTTTAAATCTTCCTCCTAAGAAGATTTAAGTCACAGCATTTAGCTAGATAGAAAAATTGGAAGGGTCTTGACACATAAAAACCAGTTGTGAACTGGGTGCCAGTGGCTCACACCTGTAATCCTAGCTACTCAGGAGGCTGAGATCCAAGGATCACAGTTCATAGCCAGCCTGGGCAGAAAAGTCCATGAGACTCTTATCTCCAATAAACTACTCAGATAAAAAAGGAAATGGCACTGTGACTCAAGTGGTAGAATGCTAGCCTTGAGTCAGAGAAGCTTAGGGGCCGCACCCAGGCCCAGAGTTTAAGCCCCAGGACAGCTAGGGGGAAAAAAATCAGTTGTCTGTGTATATCAATGTTTGTGGAAGTACTTGATAATTTGAATTCAAGGTACATTGGCACTAAGAATGTTATCAAAGTGTGCCAACATGGATTAACATTCCATTCATATCAGGATACCCTTCTTTTTTTTTTTTGCCAGTCATGGGGCCTGAACTCTGGGCCTTAGCGCTGTCCCTCAGCTCTTCAGCTCAAGGCTAGCGTTCTACCACTTGAGCCACAGCGCCACTTCCGGCTTTTTCTGCTTATGTGGTGCTGAGGAATCGAACCCAGGGCCCCATGCATGCAAGGCAAGCAATCTACCACTGAGCCACCTTCCCAGCCCAGGATACCCTTCTTAGTGTCCTTACTTCCATTTGGCCGAGCCATTGGAAAAGGGGCATTAGGGAGAAGAGTGGGGGAATTTTCCCTTATAAAGTGCTCCAGGGAAGGAGGGAGAATGTTCTTGGGTTCCTTGGTTGTGAGCTGATACCCAGCTGTCCAGATGTAACAGCTGCATCCTGTGTCACTGACCACTGTCAAGGCCAGAGCGAATGAGTGCCAAGGGGCCCTGCATTTGCAGTGGCAGTGTAGTTGCATTTTGCTGGAACAAGAATAGAAAATTTGGGAAACTATCTCTGACTTTCATCTTTTTTTATCTTAGGGCTTGAACTCAAGGCCTGGGTACTATCCCTGAGCTATTTTTGTCAAAATTAGTCCTCTACCACTTTGAGCCACAGCTCCACTTCTGGTTTTCTGGTGGTTAATTGAAGATAAGAGTCTCACACAATTTCCTGCCTGTGCTGGCTTTGAACTGGAATCCTCAGCTCTTAGCCTGAGTAGCTAGGATACAGACATGAGCAACTGGTGCCTGGATTTTTTTTTCTAATATATAGAAAATACAGGTTTTAAAAAATATCTTGTAAGATGAGAAATAATCACTGCAATACATCTTTTGTTATGATTTGGTTAAAAAAGTTTGAATCACTTATCAGATTTACCTAAATCTTAAATTCTATAACTTAAAAAATTGATTTGTGGCCAGGCACTGGTAGCTCATGCCTACAAACTTAACTACTCCGGAGGCTGTTATCAGAAGATCTCAGTTCAAAGCTAGCCAGGGCAGAGAGGTCTGAGAGATTCTATCTCCAATTAAACAGCACAAGGGTGGATTAAAGGCCTGGCTTACATGGTAGAGTACCAGCTATGACACTAAAAATCCAAGTGGAGTGCAAGACCTTGACTTAAGTCCTGGTACTCACACATACCACATACCACAGAATTAACCCTTTTAAAATGTAAAATACGTTGGTTTTCAGTATATTCAATAAGCCTTAAGAAATCATGCACAGATCATGTATTGCACATTTGTAATCCTGGTAACCAAGGCAGGACAATTACAAGTTTGAGGCCAGCCTGGGCTACATAGCTGGACCTAGTCTCAAAAAAAAAAAGAAAGAAAAAAAGAAAAGAAAGAAAAGGGCAATCATTAATTCCACAGTGTTTTTCTCCATGTATATGTCCTAAAGAAGTATCTATGTAGTCATGACCCTTGCCCATTTTCACATTGAATTGTAGTCTTTATATTGTCAAGTTGTAAGGGTCAGCTTGCATGATTAGTTACATACAGAAATTCAGAATTCATCTATTTGGCTTTTTGCTTTTCTTAGTCACCGCTGTAGAGTACTTAAATCCCTTTGCCTAGTTGAGAACAATGCAGAATATATTACTAATTTTAAAACTGTAAGATTGATAGGTTCATTAAGCAGCTATTGAACATAAAAGTTTACATTGTTGCTATCATGTTAACGTTTGAGCATGAAGAAATGATTGCTTGGGTCTTGGGGGCCCCCGATACCCCTTCAGATCTGTCTCATTTATCCCACCCCCCCACCGTGCTCCAGCCCTGCTATAAGCCCTCCTCCCCCACCCCCCCAGCCCCCAGGCTCTGTTGCTTTTGCTCCTCTTTCCTGATGTGTCCGCCCAGCATCTTGCCCCACCAAGACCATTAGGTGTCTTCCCATCGCTTCTGCCTCATTCACATGAACTTTGCATGCTCTCCAGAAGTTCCATCAATCTAGAGCAGAAAGGAGGGGAAGCAAGCAGGCCTGAGATCTTTCTCCAAAAGGCATCCATTCACAAATACAAGAGCCCACTGTGTCCCGGGTGCTTTGTGATGATAGAGTTTGGATGGGTAGCCTCTCACAACCTCACTCCAGTGGTCTACCAGGCAGAGGACAAAACTGTTAGATATCTTATTCCAGTTTTTAATCTCATTAAAATTAGGCTCGTTAATGTGTAAGTATAGGAGCACAGCCTTATAATCTATGAATATGCATGTATTGGCGATATGATTTAAATTTCAAGTTGCCAAGTTAGGAGGTCATAAATACAGGCAAAGTGGCCTGTGTTTCTTCTCATGATTGTCCTCCACCGTGTAGGACTATTGCTTGACAAGGTCTGTGTCTCTCCCATAGACCCTCTCTTTCACAGCACTGCCATCTATGCCGATGAGGAGGAGTTTGGACCCTGTGCATCTCCTGTGCCTTTAATTCCTCAAGGAAAAGAAGAGAAACAAAGGTATGATTTATCCCAAGGAATTGTTGCTTTGTACTTACCAAGACTTTATTGCAAAAAAAATTTTTTTTGGGGGGGGGGTATGTGGGTCCTGGGTCTTGAACTCATGGCCTTGGTGCTGTTCCTGAGCTTCTTTAGCTCAATGAGAGTGCTCTACCACTTGAACCACAGATACATTTCCAACTTTTTGGTAGTTATTTGAAGACAAGTGTCTTGTCAACTTTCCTGTCTGGGCTGGCTTGGATCTACAATCCTCAGATCTCAGCTTCCTGAGTAGCTAGGATTACAGGTGTGAGCCACTAGCACCCATTGGAGCAATTCTTTAAGATACAAGCTCTTAAGATCTTTTGAGATAACTTCTTAGGTTTTTCCTCAAGAGAACTGCAACATCAAAACTTAAATTTCAACAGTTGGTTATATTATTCGAATAACTAAAATAATTAACAACTGGATCTCTTAGACAACAGGCTACCTTCATTGGGTTAATTTCTCAGTGAATCAGAGTATGGGAGTTTGTACAGTGATGAGCAAATGAAGCTCTTTTACTGCTATTCTAAATTTTATTCACGTACATTTTATACATTTCTTGTTTATTCCAAGATGGTCTATTTTTGTTTGGGTGAGGAAATTAGAATAAATGAGTCCTCCAATTTTCTCTAATCTGTTATGGGTAATTGTGTATGTGAAGGCTATGAGTTTCTTACGTGAAGCTTTTACTTTTAAAGGTTAACTCAGTTTTATAAATTATTAAACAGCTACTGTCTGCTAAATACATCCTAGACAAGAAAAATCTAAGGGTAGCTGGATACAGCGACACATACCCGTAATACCAGCTACTTAGGAGGTAGAGATTGGGAGATCTTGGATCAAAGCCAGCCCAGGCAAAAAGTGGACAAACTCTATCTCAACGAACAAGCTGGGAATGATGATGATTTCTCTAATCTCAGCTATACTATATTCAAAAGCCAACTCTCGGGCAAAAAGATGAGAACCTGTTCAAAAACAAAACAAGATGCCTCAAGTAGTGGAGCACCTGTCTAGCAAGCTCAAGGTCCCAGTAATACCAAAAAAAAAAAAAAAAGATCAAGAATACTTATTCCTAGAGATACACTCTTGATGATACATAAAAATTATGAATGTCATCACTATTCATCTATTACAGAAATTAACAGATTTCATTTTTGGATTCCTGGGGGTAAAAACACCCTATTCTGTTTGGTCTCTACTGATCATCAGATTCCTAAATATGCATATCTCAGGCCATTTGCATGTGCCATTCCTAGGGTCTGGGTTGCTTTTCCTCCTCTGTACCTCCTTTTGGATTTCAGCCTCTTTTAATTCTTTGACTTCTGCTAGTGTATTCTTCTCTTACCAATACCATCTATCTCTTGAACGTGCCAGGCTTTTTCATTTACAGATACTTTACCTTAACTTCCCATTCTTCTGGGCCTGGAGAAGTATCTTTAGAAGTCAGCTCTAGGTTCCTAACCATGTATTTTCATTTGCAGCCATGAATCCCTCTTCTCTGCCTCATGCCGGTTAAATTCCACTGTACTGTCGTCAGCCTAGCTCTGCACTGAACCCTTTAAACTTTAAGGAAAGTGCTCTTTCTCTTTCTTCTCTCTTCTTTCTCCCCTTTCCCTCCTGTCTGTCTCTGTCTCTCTGGTTTTCATTGCTGGTTTTAGAGCTTAAGCTTCAGGTCTTGTGCTCTCACTTGGCTTTTTCACTCATAGCTGGCGCTTGAATGTGTCACACCTTCACTTCTGGCTTTGTGGTGGTTAATTGGAGATAAGAGTCTTACAGATACTGGCATCTGTGGGAGATAATAATGCTTATTCTTCGGCGCAGTTCGAGCACTACTGAAAATGAAGCAAGTGGAAACGAATCTGTAAGAGTTAGTACAAGAAAGGTACGTGTGGATATTCTCTCTTCTGTCTTCATTTGTAATATTTCATTGCATTCTGATTGGTGCAGATGAAACTCTTCTGCAGTTACACTATAGACACCGTTGTAGAAGGTACTTTCATAGTCCGTGTAGACTATTTTTGTATTCGATGTGCTTATATGAAGCACTTTGTATCAGATCTCCATGTACCTAGTCAGTGCTCATAGCAGTCCAGTAGTGTGTTTAGGTTGTGATTTACAAAGTCAGAACTGTGACATTTGCAGAGAACTCTAATGTAGGTCTCATATCTATCCAGTACTTGTCCAACCATCTATGCTCAGTTTCAAAGTTTAGAAATGGGAATTACATCGATTTCTGCAGTGCTTATGGTGACTAATCATAAGCACTGATCATCTCACCTAGTGTGCTCATTTCCTCACAGTCCACAAGAAAACGGAAGCCCATTAGTGATGACTCTGAGAGCACAGAAGACAATGTAAGCAGAAAAGTGAACTCAGTAAAGAAAAGAAGGCCAGAATACCGTGATGCTGCTCCAGCTGTGCCGGCTTCCGAACCCTCAGAGAAAGCAGCAGACACAGTCCTTCCTAAAAGGACTGAGCCTCTCAGCACTCAGGCTGAAGTGGTCACTCCTGGGAGTACCACACCCCTCAGCACCCAGGCTTCAGTCAACAAAGAAACTCGGGCAACACATAGGCAACCGGTAAGAGTATCTTGAGAAAGAAAGAAAAAAATGTACTGAAGGTTGTTTAGGACCAACAAAACCTTTTATTTCGGGCTGGGAAGGTGACTCTGTGGAAGAGTGCTTGCCCTGCATTCATGAGACCCTAGGTTTGATTCTTCAGCACCACATAAGCAGAAAAAGCCAGAAGTGGTGCTCTATGGCTCAAGTGGTAGAGTGCTAGCCTTGAGCTGAAGAGCTGAGAGACAGTGCCCAGGCCCAGAGCTCAGGCCTCCTGACCAACAAAAACAAACAAAGAACCTTTTATTTCTTTCCTTCAATTTTTTCCAACAGTTTAGTGTCCTATTTTAATTATAAAATATTTATTTTAGAAAATCTAAATGTGGAAAGGCAGGTAAAGTTCACCTATAATTCCTTAACACTAACCAACCGCCGTTTTGTTTGTACTCCACAATCTTTTTTTTTTTTTTCTGAGCTTTTCTCACCCTGAAGTGCAATCATGTACTTTTAATAAGAATTCTAGTATCATTTCCTAGAATTTCCAGTATCATTACATTCACAGATCAGTCAATATCTCACTGAGGAGTAGTTTCAATTTAACAATATTTTAAGTGTTTTGATGAATTCTTTGTAGCTAAATCTTTGTGCATACCTTGTTTCATTTCCTTGGAAAGAGTTATTGGGAGCCGGGCTTACATCTATAATTCTAGCTATTCAGGAGGCTAAGGTCTGAAAATCATCATTCAGAGCTAGCCTAAGCAGAAGAATCTAGGCAGGAGTTGGGGGTCAAGTGATTAAGCACCAATTGTGAAGAAGAAAGCCAAGAGAGCTCAAGGCACTGAGTTCTAGCCCCTGAACTACCTTACTTGCTTTGATAAGGTTACAGTGTTACATTTGTTCTAAGATATTTGATATATACTATATTTTGGTCAAGTTCTTAACATGTTATTCATTTATTTTGTTGGTTTATTCCTTTGTTTATTCTCTTGTTTGGAAAAATTTTAATGTATAATGTCTCTTTTCTCCTGTCTTCTACTTTTTGCCTTCCCAGCCAGAAACCAGACAGGGTTACTTATAATTTTTTTAAATAAAATTTTTATTGTGAAAATACTGTACAGAGGGGTTACAATTACATGAGCAAGCTAATGAGTACATTTCTTATCAAGCATTGTTGCTTCTTCCTTTGTTTTTCCCCTACCATCCCTTCCCTCCCATCTCCACAACTACACTCCTCCCACCCCCAAATTGTAAAGTCCATTTTTCGACATAGCGTCTTGTACATCTCATTGTTACAATGGGTCAACCTGTATCCCTATTTAAACAATTTGTTTTTTTCTTATGTATTCTTAAAGTGTTTCTTTCTACATGCAAATATGAATGTGTTTTCTTATTTCCCTTTTTACATAAACAAAAGCACATTATACATGACCCACTTTTTGTGGGTCTCTCTTGATAAATATCCTGCATGTGCTGGACTTTGTAGTTTGGAGCATGCTGTTCTGTAAATGTCAAAATTCATAATCATCTCTGAGCACATGAACCTTCTTTGCATTAGCTCCTATTGAATGCTTTGTTATTTTCACTATAGGTCACACTTTCTCACGTGGCATTTCAATTATGTAATAGACATTGTTTTGATTAGTTGTTGAGCTCTGTATTCCCTCTTTTTGTGAGTACTGTTAACTTTTACTCCAGCAGGGTTCCAGATCAATTATTGGCTAATTGTCTTGAAGCTATCTGCGCTTGCTCTTACCTTATTAGGGTCAACTTGTAGAAAGTTTAAGGTATTTACTAAGCATCTGTTACTTGTTGGGGCTCAGTTTCTATATCGGTTCTCAATTGCTCTGTAACAAATTGCCACAATCATAGTGGCTTAAAATAACATTCATTTATTACCTCACAGTTCCTATAGGTCAGAAGACTGGGATCAACATAGCCAGCTTCTCAGTTTAGGGCCATTTAAGGCTGGAATCAAGGTCTATATCTCAGGACTGATATCTCCTCTGAGATTCAACGTCCTCATCAAAGAGTTTTCAAGTTGCTGGTTGAATTCAGTTCCTTACAGCTGTAAGAATGAGGTGTCCATTTCCTCTCTAGTTGGAGCCTGGGATCTCTCTACTCTTATAGGCCACAGACCAATCAGAATATTGTGACCTATGAAAATGTGTGGCCAGTATCTTCAAAGCCAGCTGGAGACTCTCCAGAATACTACACTGTGTATTATCAAGGAAGTGGCCATCCTGTCAAAGGTGCTGTCCATGCTCAAGGGGAAAGAATTATTCAAGTCATCTTACAGTTTTATAACCACTTCCTCTCTGTTTCTTGGTGGATGTGGTCAGAGCTTGCTTTTAGGCTTTGTAAGGGTGGGTCTGCCTTACTCTCTAGAGCAGTGTAATTTCTCAACCTGTTTGTTAATTACTGTCCACGTGGAGCCTTTTTGGTAGGCATGTCCTCCGTCTCTCTCCTATAAATACTGTGGCATTACAATGTAATTCACTTTATAGACTGGGACCCTGTGGCAAAAGATAGTTCTTTTTGTATCCTTCTCCTAAGATCCAGAGTTTATCCTGTTCAGAGCAATATGACCATGTCTGAGAGTGAATAGTTTATACTTTTTATTCCTAAGTGTAGTGTTTCTGCTTGCCACACAGGAATTAACCAGTTGTTCTACATCTAATTTCTCCCAACACTTCCTGTCTTAGGCTGTTAGGTCTTTAATCGCATATAGCACTTTTTCTGGAAACTTCTTATACTCACTCTATGTAGACAGCACTGCCTGATGGCCTCCCAGGGACTCCTGGGCAGAGTCCTGATTGTCTGAGCAGCTCCTCCGAGGAGCCTCAGCTTCCCAGTGCTCCATGCCTGCCCCTCCAGTTGAATGGGATTACTAGGCTGCCCTTGGGCTTCAGCTGCTCTGCAGCTGTCTGGAAGTTGTCCACAAACATAGGGGCAAGGTATCCACTGGGCTCATTGGGATCCCAGTCTCCCCCTTTTCAGAAAACCCATGTTGCCTCTTGTCAATGTCTAAATAAAGTTACCACTCCTTCCCTCATTTCGTGGTTGTTCATGACAAGAGCGTGGAGACTCCTGACATTCCTCTGAAATGAGCCAGAATAGTTCACCCCAACTGCGCATCCGTGGCACATTTCCAGCTGATTATTCCGAGAAACTGCAGGCATAAGGGTGGCTCTAAAAGCTGTGCCTTCATACAGGAAATTGACAGCTGTAATGGGAATCTGTGGAGTAAAAGTATCTGTAGCAGGAACTGGGTTGCCAGGGGACCATTTACCGTGAGGGTACGTTCCTTTACCCTACTCTTCTCTCCTCCCTTCTTCATAACTTTGGTGACCCCACTCTCACATGCCCCTCAGCCTCCCATTCCTTTTTGTAGCTCAGGATGTAGCTTCAGTCATCTGACTCTGCTTCCTGTCTCCTGTGCCATACATGTGCAAGTAGTTAAATACTGCTTTTCTCCTATTGATCTGCTTTATGTCAGTTTCTTTGGTGGCCAACCAAAGAATTTGGGGCAAAGGTTGAAGGAGAGCCATCTTACTTCTCCCAGAGAGCCATAAGAGCTGGTACTTCACCATATCACGTTAAATAAAAATTTGGGCTGGTTCTATTCACATTATCTTTTTTTTGTTGGGAAGTTCTTTGTTGATTTTTCTTTTTTTTTTTTTGAGACAGGGTCTTGCTCTGTAATAGTGCAGGCTGAGCTAGAACACTCAGCCTGCCTTCCTTTCCACTGCTGGTATTTTATTTCTTTTTTTTTTTTTTTTTGCCAGTCCTGGGCCTTGAACTCAGGGCCTGGGCACTGTCCCTGAGCTGCTTTTGCTCAAGGCTAGCACTCTACCACTTGAGCCACAGCACCACTTCTGGCTTTTTCTGTTTATGTGGTCCTGAGGAATCAAACCTAGGGCTTCATGCATGTGAAGCAAGCACTCTATTAGCATTAAACCACATTCCCAGCCCCAACTACAGGTATTATTATTACTACTATTATTACTATTATTGCCACTTTGCCCATCTATTTCATTGTTATCTTAATAAGACTTCCACTTTTTCCCTTCTACAGATATTCATCAAATGAAAGTTTTAATTTTTCAATGTTTTATGTATGTAATTTATATGACTAATATGATAATTTAGGACTAAATGAGAAATATAGCTAAATTATTTTGAGTTTAGTAATGTTGTCTTTTTAATCATGTTTTGTTTTTTTTTTTTTAAAAAAAACCCTTTTTTTAAATTCATTTTTTGGTAGAAGACTCAGAGAAAAAGGACCGTGGTTCCAGGCAAAAAGAAAAAACCAAGAAATGAAGCCACAGACTCAGGTACCAGATGAGTGTTTATATGTAGTCTCATACAGATGTTCAGGAAAAACATCCATCCCTAAGCTTTTACGAAAGCTCATAAAATTTTGCTTTTAAAAATTAAAAATATGACTTTGAGTAACATTTTTTCTAACATTTTATGATGAAAAATTTCAACATAAAACCAATTTGAAAGAATTATTACTGTATTGATATTCCTATTACCTCAGTTTTTAAAGTACCTTTTATTATACTGGCCTTATCCCTTTTCTGTCAGTTAATCCATTTTAATTTTTTAAGGCAGCTTAAAATAAATTATAAGTATAGTACACTTCTTCTGAAATCCCTAAGTTTATGCATCATTAACTAGAGTTCAATGTTGGTTTATAGTTTTTTTTCCTTTCCATTAAAATGTATAGACAATGAAATCCCAGATTTTTAAGTGTGAAATCACCATGGAGTCTTGGAAAATGCAAATGTATGTAATTCAGGTCATTATCCAAATACACTATTGTTTTAGAAACATTCCCCTCCCCCCCATAACTCTTGAATATCAGTCCCTGCCATCATTACCACAGACAATTTTTTTGAAGATTGTTTTTCTATCATCCATTAATTTACATGTTCCAGAATATTATATTGATAGAATCAAGTAGTATACAATGTTTTGAGATTTACTCATACTGTTTTGAGTCACTTTTATTGCTTAATAGCATTCATTGTGTCACCCAACCACAATTTATCCATTCTCATTGATGGACAATTGTTTCTGGGTTTGGCTATTATGAGTAAAGCCACTATGAACTTTTTAATACTTTTGTGTGTGTGTGTGTGTGTGTGTGTGTGTGTGTGTGTGTGTGTGTGTGAACATGTTTTTATTTATCTCGGTAAATAGAGTTGCTGAAGTTCATAGGCAGCCCAAGCATAAAATCCTGAGAGACTCCAACTACATTAAGCCAGCAAAATGCTGGACTGGAGGTATGGCTCAAGTAGTAGTACACTAGTCATATAGGCAAACCAAAGGAAAGTGCCAGATCCCTAAGTTCAAACCCTGGTACTGGCACAAAAAAAAAGAAAGAAAGAAAAAAGAAAAAGGGGAAATGGGACACCATTAGACTATCACAGAAGAGCAAAACAGTACAGCAAGCATTTGAAGAGAGTCCATTTCTGTGTTAGTCAGATTTCATTTACTTAATAAAATACCTAAGATAATCTACTTATAAAAGAAAAACAGTTCATTGTGGCTCGCGGTTTGGAGGTTCCAGTTCATGATTGGTTGGCCATCCACTGCTCTGGGCCTGTGGTAAGGCAGCACATCATGGTGGGAGTACATGGAGATTTTGAAGAGGAGGAAGGGGCCAGTATCCCAAGGACCTCTTTAGAGGCATGCTCCAGCGTCCTAAAGACCTCCCACCAGGCTCTCCTCTCAGAGGATCAACCATCTCCCAGTAGTGCCTTTAACACATGGGCCTTTGGGGGACATAGAGTATGCAAAGTATAACAGTCACTAGCCAGAGATTTAAAGCTCCAGCTACAGTGAGACACACACCCTTTTGTTGTATTACACTGGCAGATATTTGAGTCTCAAGTCTGTATTTAATTCGGTGATTATCTGTAGAAACTCTTAGCCACCACAGCTATAGAGATAAAACTAAGTTGAAAGCCATTTTGACCTCTCTTGTGTAACTCTGAAAATAAAATTCACAGGCTTTCAAACCTAGCTGTCATTTGTAGGTGTATTTATGCAGGTCTTGCCTCTGCCCCCGAAACATGCATGTGAGTATAGCATTATTGTCCATGCTAGCAAAACCTTTCATGCAGGACTGGTAGAGTAATTGTGGTATGTTTATGCACCGGAACAGAATGCAAAAGTGCATCAGCATAAATATAAAACAGTCAAAAGCATGTAGAACCTTACATTGCTTAGGATTATGTTCATGTGCAGTAGGATTGAACAATGATAATTCAGAGTGGCAACTACAACAAGGCAGGCAGGGAATGTTCTGGGGTTAGGGGTGTACATAGTGTTCAGATCCTTGTGAACCTTCTTATTAATCTGTTCTGAAGGCATGCATGCAGCTATTGTTCATGTTTATATCACATATATAAATAATTCTGTATGCAAAATAACTCACATTAGAAAACAAATTCTAAGTCAAAACAAAAAATGCTTCATTCAGAGATCATATGTAGATCTTAATCAATGATTGGTCCTGTGAGGTAAGGATGATTTGATTTGGATTAATAATCCCTTTAGGTATTACTTACTTTGCAAAAGCTGGACTGCTTTTTACTGATTACTAGTTTTCTAAAGATCCTGGTACTGGGCTTAGGTGAATAGAGATTCAGGAGACAGGATGGTGGCTGAATTGGATTGGTATTGTGTGTTTGTCCCAGAAACAAGAGTGGCTTTCACTAACACTGGGCTGTTGATTATGTGTCATATTGTTTGATATCATCCTCAAAAACATGTGAAATATAAGTACTACTGTTCTTACCAGGTTTAAAGACAAAAAAGTTAAGACTTAATTTTTAGATTATGCCTTAAGTGAGCCCAGCCAGTGTTTTGGTGTTTTTGGTGGCACTGGAATTTGAATGCAAGGCTTTGTGTTTGATCATAGGTGCTCTACTGCTTGAGCATGCCCCCATCCCTGAATGTTTTGGTTGTTTTTGAGATAGGATCTTGCATTTGGCTACCATGATCCCCCTATTTATACTTCTTACCATAGCTGGGATGATGGGTATGCACCACAAAGGCAACAGTACTTACTACCTAGCAGTGGACAGAATAAATCTGCCAACCCCAGACGTACAACCACCACCATTTGATCTCCCCAGAATCTTGCTTTGGGCCATTTTGCACATTCAGTGGGTGACTGGGCTGGGGTGGCAGGTCTGAGAGTTCTTTTCACATGTCTGTGCCTTGGAGTGCATACTGTTTGTTCTTTTGTGCCTGTAGCTTGGCTAACCTGTGGTTTGGTAGTCAGAGTTTCATGTGATGGTTGACATGCGAGGGAGCACTGAAGGAGGTGAAAGTTAGAAGCTGCGGTTCACTTACGATGGTCTTGGAGCTGCCCAGCATTGCTCCTTCAGGTCCTAGTTATTGATCAAGCCAGACTTGAAGGGAAGGGGAAAGGGGAAGAATAGTAAAGCAAAGAATTTCAGCTGTCATGGATGCACCACAGCCACACATTGAACTTGGATCTGGAAGCATTGAACTTGACTCAGGAAGCTCATTAACAATAGGAATTAATTAAGGAAAAAGTTGGCTTATCTGCCAGACATTTAACTTTATATAGAAAATGTGGGTGTTTGTTAGAAAATGTCTGATAATCACACCTATATAGTCTTCATAAATACATTCACAGATATTGTTTTACTTGCAGGATATGTTTTATTTCATCCACTTTTCCCATTGAGGAAACTCACTCATCTCAGGATGAATGAGAATGAAGCTCAGAATAGGACTTAAATCTCTAGACTGCTCATCCAGTGTATTTTTAATAAATATACTCAATAAGCATGATGTTCTCAACACATGGCCTATCAGATTAAAATTTGGGAATTAAGCAAATGGAGAAGAGCTGTATCACCAGTGGATGTTGGGTAACAGCAAACTAGTAAATACAGACACAGCAGGTTGACAGTAGGATTTCAATGGGAAGGAAGGAGTGGGGTGCTCTTGGACCATCTTGTTTCAGGCTTTCAGAAACCTGGATCTAGAACCAAATCATGAATAATCAGTTTATTAAATTGACTTGTCTTAACATTCTAGATACTTCTGAGAGTATGCATATTTGGTGTCTAGAAGGAAGGAAAGCCAGTGACATCATGGAGTTGGATATTATTTTGTCTGCATTTGAGAAAATCTTCCTGCAATATAAGTAAGTCATTGGCTGTGAGGCCTGGGCCGATCAATGGCCCTTGAAGAAGGTGCTGCTTTTGCTCATCCCACAGACTTTGATGTGTGTTTTCATTATCATTACATTTGAACCTTTCCATGATACTCCAGTATTCATGTATTAGATTTATGGTCATCTGTTCTAAAATGTTTCTAATAGACTCTCTGATCTGATGTGTTTTGCTTTTAAAATGGTTGTGAATTGCCCTCCCTTTCCCAGCTGTTGGCCTTACAGCGGATGTAGAGAAAGGCCACAGCTGTCGCTGTCAGCTCCTGTGAGCAACAGGCATGAAGGTGGGCACAGAATGGCATCAAGCATAGATCTGTTCCCGGAGTGTCACATCAGGGGCTAAGAGGCTACATATACCACAATGCTGGGAAGGGGCAGGGATGGAGAGGAAGCAGAAAATGGTGAGAACTGAGGAATTCCTGTCTGCCATTCAGCATTCACATTGGGGATATTCCACTGCTCTCTCCAAAACCAAGTCTAGTCCTCTCACACTCCCCAGAGAGATTTGCCTCTAGAATCAACGTTGCAACCAGGGTGAGGAGCATCATGAGAATGTCCAGGAATGTTAGACTTGCAGCCTAGGAGGATGCCCCCAGTGAGCCAGGGCGCGGGGCCCATCTCGTGCATTTGATTTGGCAGAGCTTGTGTAGGGAACATTGAAGAGCTCTGGGGAAGAACCATGAAAGGCTTGGTGGACTGCTTGCTCCAGTTCTGGTGGAGGGAAGATATTTCTTTAACGATGCTTTCAAAGATACTGGTGGGCCTTGGAGACATCCATATACCACTAACCTAGAGATGTGTTGTAAAACACAACTATCCAACACTACTGTATGCTTAAACATGACTGATGTTGTACTTTGGTTTTGGAGTTTTTTGTTTGTGTATGTGCATGCCAGTCCTGGGGCTTGAACTCAGGGCCTGAGTGCTGTCTTTGAGCTTATTTTGCTCAAGGCTAGCATTCTACCTTTTGAGCCACAGTTGTATTTTCAGCTTTTTAGATTTTTTTTTTTTTTTTTTTTTGAGTCTTGTGCACTGTCCTTCTCAGACTAACTTCAAACCGCATTCCTGAGATTCCAGCCTCCTGATTAGCTAGGAGTACAGGCGTGAGCCACCAGGGCTGGCTTAATGGGATAATTTGTTCTGTATTTTTACCAGAGTGGTGAAGAAAATGTTTCCATACTTCACACCTATCAGAATGTACAAAGTAGTATTCCAACTGTGATCAAGGGTGATTTCACTGGTGACAGAAAGATAGGGGAATCCTGCCTTGGATGGACAGCATCAGGGCACAAAGGTCTTTGAGGGGGCTGTAGCAAATATCTGTAGCAAGGACATTGGGCAAGGCACGAGGAGGGGGTGACTGAGGTTAGTGCCCTGAGTGCATTGATATGATGTTAATAAGTACGAGAAAAACACTGGCCAAAAACTCAGAACCTATTTATAATTAAACCTCAGTAAGATCAGGGAAAGCATCTTTAACTTGATAAAGAATATTTACCAAGGGCTTATAAGCACCATACTTAATGATGACAAACCAGAAGACTTCCAATCAGGCAAAGGCAAGAATGTCTCCTTCCTGTTTAACATCATACTGGAAGTTTTACATAACATAATAAGATGAGAAAAATGAAAGTATAGATTGGGAAATAAATAAAACGGTCTCTGTCCTTAGAAGAAATTATTATTTTTTTATATTTTTTATTGTAAAAATTCTGTATGGAAGGGTTACAGTTACATGAGCAGGCTAATGAGTACATTTCCTATCGAGCATTGTTACCTCCTCCTTTGTTTTTCCCCTACTATCCCTTCCTTCCTCAACTCCTCCCTCCCCACCCCCCAAGTTGTAAAGTTCGTTTTCAACATAGTGTCTTGTACATCTCATTGTTATAATGGGTTAACCTGTATCCTTATTTCAACATTTTGTTATTTCCCTTCCCCTCCCCAAATTAGAAAAATGTATATACAAGATGCAGGGCACCGACATCAAATACAGTGAAAACAGGGGTTATACCGTTACTTGCAATAACTAGTATAAATCTAGGACAAGCAGAAAAGGTCAAAAGTTATATACATATGACCATATAAGATGATAAGTGAAATGAACCCCAAGATAGGGACACAGTGGTTTTTCTCTCTTGCTATTGTTTTTAATATATTTAAAAGGTACTATGTGGCATCATTATTTATTTAGAAAGTCTCAAATACACCAAAATTAAAAAAAAAAAAAAAATTTGCTGATGCCAGTGGTTCACACCTGTAATCCTAGCTACTCAAGAAGCTGAGATCTGAGGATCACGGTTCAAAACCAGCCCAGGCAGGAAAGTTCATGAGACTCTTATCTCCAATTAACCGCAAGAAAACTGGAAGTGGCACTGTGGCTCAAGTGGTAGAGTTCATGCCTTGAGCTGAAGAGCTCAGGGACAGTGCCCAGGCCCAGAGTTCAAGCCCCAAGATTGACAAAATAAATAAATAAACTCATGCAATATATGATTACAGCAAGAGCTTATAGTGAGTACCATACTTAATGATGACAAACCAGAAGATTTCCAACCAAGACCAGGAAAAAGGCAATAAGACAAGAAAAATGAAAATATAGACTGGGAAAGAAGAAACAAAATGGTCTTTGTCCTCAGATGACATCTGAGGTTTTGCAAGATATAAAAGTCAGTTGCTTTTGTGTATTCCTAGTAAGGACTGGAGAATTTGACATTAAAAAGACATTTAAAAAATTTCAAGTAGTAACCTCCAAAATAAGACATGGTACTTAGATATATATCTAACAAAATAGATACAAGATACCTACAAAGAAAACTACAAAATTGATGGAAGAAACTATTGAAGAACTATATAAATGGACAGAAATTCCATGTTTATGGATAGTAAAAATACTTACGACTGCTTACTAGTTGTTAGTTAAAACATGCCATCCAGTCATTTCCCCAGCTGCTAGAGGAGGAGACAGATCTACTGGTCATTAGGGCAGGCAGTAAGGAAGGATTAGAACTGACTCTAACCATGTTGGGCTGTGGAATTGGCCAATGCTGGGGATGGCTCCTCAAAGGACTTGGGAAAAATATTTTTTTGTTGTGTTTTGTTTGGTTGAGGCATGTTTCCAGTGTTCATCTTTACCCAAAAAGTATTTTCTTTTTTGTGTACTGGGACTTGAGTTTGAGTTCTTGTACTTTTGTACTTGCTAGGTAGGTACTCTACCACTACAGCTATGTCCCTCAGTCTTTTTTGTTTTTGTTTTGTATATGTTTGCCAGGGCTTGAACTCCGGGCCTGGGCACTGTATCTTAGCTTCGTTGCTCTAAGCTGGCACGTTTACCATTTGAGCCACAGTTCTACTCCTGGGTTTTTTGTGGTCAACTGGAGATAAGAGTCTCAAACTCTCTTGTCTGGAGCTAGCTTTGAACTGTGATCCTCTTATCCTAGCCTCCTGAGTAACTAGAATTATAGATGTGAGTCACCAGTGCCTGGCCAGCATTTTATATTTTAAGCCTAAAGGACTTTAAAAGGGGGTACAGGTCAAACATTGCCACCATCTTAGGTTTAAAATGATATATGCCAAATGATGTGTTTATATATTAAGCAAATGAAGCCCACCTTTCGAAACCCATTGTAATACCTAGGATGACTCTTTTCCCCTTTAATTGCTTTGCAGACAAAGAATCAAATCTGCAGTTTGTGAAGAAGCCGTCACCAAATTTTACCTTAACATTAAAGAAGAACTCATCAGAATGGTAAGCCCACTGACAAATTTATTGCTACAAGTTTTTTGACCTGTCCTGGGATGGCACCTATTGTTAAAAGAACAGTTTACATTTGCTGGAAATATGAAAATAAACTCATGAGAACTGCCCATATCTCACATTATTTTTAAACTAGGTGTGATATATATGAATTGAATTAGTATTTGGAAATATATTTGGAAAATACACAGATTTATTTTTGTTTTGTGTAGCTCAAAGAAGTCCAGACACTGAAAACTTTGAAAAGGAAGAATGCTAAGGTAAGTCACTTAGAGAATCATTTGGTGATAAGTTAAGCATTACTAACAAGTGAAATTAAGTAAAAGACTTACCTTTGGGGTTTGTAACCTTTAGAGTTTGTATAAAATATTCTTAGCTTTTTAGTTAGACTTTCATTAGTTGACCTTGTGGTTTATTGGGTGTATAACATTAATGCAAGCTAAGGAACAGGATCTGTTTGCTAGCCTTCCCAATACCATAATGAAATGCTTGAGGTAATCATCTTATGAAGAGAAAAGCGTAGTTTTGGCTCAGAGCTTTGAAGGTCCCAGTTGATTAGTAGTTGGCTCCATTGATTTCAAGCTTCTAGCAAAGCAGTACATCATAAGGGTAGCATGTAGCATGTGTCAAAACAAAACCACTCAACATCGTGAACCAGGGAGTAAAAGAGAGCTAGGTGAGGGGCCAGAGTCCCATAGTTGCCTTCAAAGGCATACCTCCACATTCCCGCCAGAATGCTAAAGAAAACCTTCTAAGCCCTATCTAGTCAATCTTATTTCCCTCTGCACTTCCAGTATGTAGCAGTGTATTATGGATTTAACCAAGAAATTGTATTACTTAGGCGATCACCAACATTGAAAAGAAAAGACAGCGTTTGATTGAAGTCCAGGATGAATTGCTTCGGTAAGATATTAAAATCCTGTGAATGAAGGCTTATTCAACCACTCTAGAAAGCAGTGTGGAGGTTCCTCAAAAAAAAAAACTGAACATACAACTACCCTATGATCCAGCCATTCCACTCCTGGACATCTGCATCTAATAGAACACAAACCAGGCTACAGTACAACCCTGTTCATTATAGCACTGTTTACCATAGCCAAGATATGGAATCAGCCCAGATGCCCCTTAATGGACAAATGGATTAAGAAAATATGGTATGGGCTGGGAGGGTGGCTCAGTGGTAGAGCGCTTGCCTTGCATGCTCAAGGCCCTGGGTTCTATTCCTCAGTACCACATAAGCAAAAAGAAAAAAGCCGGAAGTCGCGCCGTGGCTCAAGTGGTAGAGCTCTAGCCTTGAGCTGAAGAGCTGAGGGACAGTGCCCAGGCCCAGAGTTCAGGCCCCACGACTGGACCCCCCCCCAAAAAAAAAAGAAAATATGGTATTTATACACACACACACACACACGTATATATGTGTGTATATGTATACATATATATGTATATAAACATATATGTATATACACACATAAATATGTATATACACACACACACACACACACACACACACACACACACACACACAATGGAATTTCACTCATCTATTAGAAAAGAATGATACTGTACCACTTGTAAGGAAATGGAAAGACTTGGAAAGAATTACATTAAGTAAAGCAAGCCAGACCCAGAGAAACAAAAGGTTGCATGGTTTCTCTCATTAGTAGTAGCTAGAATGTGCCTATGAATCTGTAAGTAAACACACTGGGTGGTATGCAAGCAGTTCCAAGTGAATTAAATTATAATAGATGCTATAGAAAGCTCAAATAATACAATTTTTTAGAAAGATTAAGTCAAAGCCCAACAAAATAAGCACCAAAAAATGAGTACTTGCAAGGGGAAGGCCAGGAGAATGGGGGTAGACAATAAAAAGAGGAAGGAGGGGAGAATGCAGTCAAGGATTTATTATAAATACCACAAAATTAAGAAATGGAAGGGAGGGGGTGGATAAGAGGGGAGAGGGTGGATAAGAGGGGATAGAATGGTTGGGGGTGGTGATGACACAGATCAGGATGTACTGTATTCATGTACTGCTTTGTTAAGTGACACCTCCTTTATACAACTAAAGATAGGAGAGCTCACCTAAAAGGACAGTACAGTTTGTCCAATGAAGGAGTGGTTTTTTTCTACAGGTCATTATTAACAGTGCTAGGCATGGGCTGGGAATGTGGCTTAGTGATAGAGTCCTTGCCTAGCATGCATGAAGCCCTGGGTTTGAGTCCTCAGTACCACATACACTGAAGAAGCTGGAAGTGGTGCTATGGCTCAAGTGATAGAGTGCTAACCTTGAGCAAAAGAAGCTCAAGCATAGTGTCCAGCTGAGTTCAAGCTCCAGTACTGGCAAAAAAACCAACCAAACAATAAAAACCCAAAACATAAAAAGAACTAGGATTTGCACTTGGGCACCTGGTGACCGCAGGGTTTGCAGAATGCATCAGCTCAGGAGAAATTAGAATTGATCTTTGCTAGTTCACCTCCTCTCTGGCCTAGACAGCCCTATTAACAACTTAATGCATAAACTCTGCGATTACTGTCTGGGTTGGAAGAAGCCTCTGCTTGCTACTTTCTAGAAAACCTTCAGCAAGTTACTTCTTCCAGTCCTGCTTCTGTATATGGCATATTACCCACACCTGAGCAGGTGTGGGACTTCATCTGCAGGTGCTTCATGGTGGCTGGTATACAGAAAGTGTTACTATTTATGTTGTTCGCTTGTTTTGTTATGTAACCTGAGCTAGCCTTGACCTCCTGAGTGCTGGGATTACATCTACGTATCACCATACCCAACTCCTATTTTGTATTGTTCAGATATACACCTAGACTGACCCACACATTAATCTTTATTCCCAAGTGTTGTGCCAGGAGGACCTAGCCAGCTTTTCCAGGCCAGGGTGACCCCCATGGGCTGGTTAAAAAGACTGGAGCGCACAGGAGTCTGGAAGCCCATGAGAAGTTTTTGGTACTCCTCTGAGGCCAGCATTGCTTTGTGAGTTGGAGAGTTATGTTTTTCCCTCTTAGTGAGCTTCACAAGCTTGAGATGGGGGGGGATGAGGCTCAGTGATAGAGCAGTTACCTCGCATGAACAAGGCCCTGCCTTCTGGTCTCAGCACTGAGCTAGGGAGATTGAAGGGGAAGCTTGAGAAGAGAAAAGCTGGTATGTGTCAAGAGTATAATTAAGTATTAAATGTTAAAACTGCCATAAAAACTTAAGAGGGAGAAATTGCTTAGTCCAGTGGTGCTCAAATTTAGTCTATGGTCTGGTCCATAATTAAGTTTCCATTGGAGGAAGTCATTATAAGAAAATTAAAAGTGCCGGGCGCCAGTGGTGGCTCACGCCTGTAATCCTAGCTACTCAGGAGGCTGAGATCTCAGGATCTCAGTTCAAAGCCAGCCCAGGCAGGAAAGTTTGTGAAACTCTTATCTCCGATATACCACCAGAAAACCAGAAGTGGCGCTGTAGTTCAAGTGGTAGAGCGCTAGCCTTGAGCTGAAGAGCTGAGGGACAGTGCTCAGGCCCAGATTCAAGCCCCATGACAAATAAAATAAAGGTATGTGAAGAATGACAGTAATGTGGAAGAGCTTCTGAGGCAGACCACTTCCCTCAGTCCTCCATCTACAAGCCCACCACCAGTTGTCATGATCATCCTGTGGGATGGGGTGTTACAGCTTTGTAAGTCCTGCTTTGTTACGCTTGTCGCTAGTGCGAGGGGAGCAGACAAGTCTGAACACTTATTCCTTTCCTAGATATTTTTTCAGAAGTTGAAGTATGTTTTGAAAAGGCATAGTAAGAGTAAACTTCAGCATGGCAGGTGAAGATCCTAAAGCACAGGGAGTAACTCAGGCACTCCTAGGTGGATGGGAGTTTAGGGGCGGGGTGGGTGTCAGCACTCAGGCAGGCCACTGACTCGGAGCCTGCTGCCCTGTGAGCTCTCTAATGAGTCTGCTCAGCTACTGCTGCCAGGGGTTCAATGTGAAGAACTGTTGAAAGGACTCTCAGAGGTTAGTTTTAGAGAGAGTTTTTTTTAATATTTTTCCTTGGAAAAATAAAAATTGACAGCCTGTCTTATTTTTTTATTGGCCATAAAATGCAAGTTGGCCTTTTTCTTTTATAGCTGAAGGAACTGAGCTACCAAGAGATGAAGCATTTAAGCCCAAGGCTATGGTAGTTTTTCCACCAGCTTTATTAGACCTCAGGACTGGGTGAGATTTTGATAGAAACTGAGGAAGACTTCTTGCCTGTGTTTTCACTACTAAATTGCAGTGCCTAGCTGAGATTAAAAATGTTAGCCAGGGCTGGGAAGGTGGCTCAGTGGTAGAGCACTTGCCTTGCATGCTCGAGGCCCTGGGTTCGATTCCTCAGCACCACATAAGAAAAACGCTGGAAGTGGCGCTGTGGCTCAAGTGGTAGAGCGCTAGCCTTGAGCTGAAGAGCTGAGGGACAGCGCCCAGGCCCAGAGTTCAGGCCCCACGACCGGACCCGCCCCCCCAAAGAAAAAGAAAAAAAATGTTAGCCAGCCTTACATTGTAATTCAGTCTTTCCCAAGACGTAACTGATGACGAAGCTTGGGAGTGGAAAGCATATTCTTCTGGAAGTGTCCCAAGTGATCACTCACTACGTGTCCAAGTTCAACCAGAACGCTCCCACAGACCTCGTGTCTGAGCCAGAGATCCTGTAGTGAGTCCTCTGTGCTTTCACACACGTCGCTCGGCCTCATGCGCTGTCATTATATGTCATTTATTTTAAGGGGAAATAATTCCATTCTAGGTTACAGCCACAGCTGAAACAACTACAAACAAAATATGAAGAACTTAAGGAGAGAAAGTCATCTCTTAGCAACGTGCTGTGCTTCTTACCTAATTTAAAACAGCTTCACCAAGATTATTCAGATCTTCAGGAGAAAGAACCCAACATACGAGACACAGTAAGTTTGATTTCTACTTTACGGTGCTTCTGTACATGAGAGGGTGTGCTAAAAGACAGTAGCTTTGAAGAAGAGGAAAAGAGTGTCACTATTAATGACTGAAATTTATTATTGTAGTTTTATCTACTCAGTAAAATCTTAAGGAGCTAAAAATCCGAAATCATGAACTTTTTAAAAAGTGAAGTTCCTCACAAGTGTGTACTTTTTGTACCCGTCATGCTCTTCTGGCTTGAACTTTGCATCCACATCACCAGATAGTTGTATATGTTCTAAAGACCAACCTTTCCCTTTGTTCATAGTATATTTTAAATCTAAAAAACAAAGTCTTATCCCATATATCTAGGTGTGTTTGTAGAGATTAAGAAACAGAAACACAATGGGAAAATATGGTATATTTTTCATAAATTTTGCAATTTCTGTGATTATAAATTTTCCATTGTTATGATGTCCAACTCAGAATAACAAATATTTATTTGGAAAAAACTATGTATTTATACACTAGTGTAATTTTATATAAAATATGTACATATAGTAGACATAATTATACATATCTATGTAAATCATGGTCAGATTTGTGTTTTTCACTTCTAAATTGAGTTTTAATGTTTTGACACTGGTCTTAGTAATTCTGTGAGTCAAATATCTGTTCGCATATTAGAAATCCAGAAAGAATATTTTTAAGGTATCTATGTACCTAACTAGTTTAAAGCTTATTTGGAGTTGGTATTTGGTTGTAGATTTGATGAATTAATAGTAGCATTGCTTCAATTTGAACATTAATCACTTTCATTAAAAGCCAAGATGCTGTGTGTATGTGCATGTTTGCTGCGACTGAACTCAGGGCCTGGTACAAGCTAGGAAAGCGCTCTATCATTGAGCTAGCTGCATCCTCAGCTATAATGCCAAAATTTAGTGACCACTTTGCCTGGAATAAACAACTCTTCCCAAATGTGGTTCTTTGCATACCTCCTTTTTGCCTTAGGAGGGAGATATTTTTGTATATGTCTCCTCCTTTTCCTGAATGAAACATGCAGCACCAAATAGGATTTTTTCCCATCCACTCTGCCTTGGTATGGATGATGGCATCTTAAAACATTTAAGTTGAATTTTTCTAGTAACATGGTACGGTGTATGCCAGAAAAATTCCCTTCGTGGGGCTGGGAAGGTGGCTCAGTGGTAGAGCGCTTGCCTTGCATGCCTGAGGCCCTGGGTTCAATTCCTCAGCACCACATAAGCAAAAAGAAAAAAGCCGGAAGTGGCGCTGTGGCTCAGGTGGTAGAGTTCTAGCCTTGAGCTGAAGAGCTGAGGGACAGCGCCCAAGCCCAGAGTTCAGGCCCCACGACCGGACCCCCCCCCCCCCAAAAAAAAAATTCCCTTCGTATGTGGGTGGTAGCCGTATTTCAATAGGTATTTTGCTCAACTTTCATTACTTTCATTACTTAAGAAACTGTATTACAAACATTATATTAAATAGCAAACTATCAAAAGCCTAATACAATTCTGTAAGGAAGATCTGCAGTCATAGTTCAAGTGCAGTGCCTACCTAGCAAGCACGAAAGACTGGTTCAAATCCTAGTACTGCCAAAGAAACAAAAACAGCTGCATGTTGATGGTTCTCGCCTCTAAACCTAGGTACTCAGGAAACTAAGGTCTGAGGACACCGTTCAAAGCCAGCTTACATAGAAAAGTCTATGAGACTGTCTCTAATTAACCATCAAAATGCTGGATTGGATGTGTAGTTCAAGTAGTGGAGTGCCAGCCATGCACAGAAAAAGCCAAGTGAGAGCTTGAGACCCTGAGTTCAAGCCCTGGAACTGGAACAAAATATGAAAAAAATAGCAAATTTATACTATATCCCCCTTAGATAGTTTGCAACAAGAGATATGGTGTGAATTATTTAAAAAAATTATGAGTTGTGTTTTTCTGTTGGGATTCGGTTCTAATTTTGTTTGTAATGCTTAAGAAAATCTTGTTTTTAATGCTTAAGAACATGATGAACACTATGTTGAAAATGAACTTAACAACTTGGGGGCGGGGGAAAAGTTGGGGAGATAGGGATGGTAGGGGAAAAACAAAGGAGGAGGTAACAATGCTCAATAGGAAATGTACTCATTACCTTACTCATATAACTGTAACCCTTTTGTACAGTGTTTTTACCATTAAAAAACGTATATATTAAAAAAAAAAAAAAAAGAACATGATGAGCCAGGTGCTAGTGGTTCAAATCTGTAATCCTAGCTACTCAACAGGCTGAGATCTAAGGATCAGTTTTAAGTCAGCCTGGGCAGGAAAGTCCATGAAACTCTTACTTCCACTCAATTATAGGGGGGAAAAAAACTAGAGCTGTGGCTCAAGTGGTAGAGTGCTAACTTTGTGCACAAAAACTATGCCCAGAGTTCAAGCTCCAGGACCAGCAAAATAAATAAATATTGAGGATTTGGCAACCTTGCCACAATTTGTTGATCTAGTAACTTTTCTAATTAATGGATTTTCTTATTAAGAACTTTTACAGGCCTGGTATTTACTGCTCATTCCATCACTTCATGCAGTAAGTCAACCTTCCTTAGAGTTTTTGCATGCTAAAATCGATGTGAGATCAAGCAGGCCCATTCACTTGCCCAAAGTCCTCACCTGTCCTGGACATGATTTTCTATTTTTAATAATTCAGATGCCACAGTTCTTCAAACAACTGTTCTTTTGGAGTAAAAAGAGAGCAGTGCAAACTTTGCTGAGTGGTTCTCTTGCAACTTTATATTACCAATTATAACCCGAGAAAATGAGTTAAAATCAATTTTCGTAATGATCTCAGATTAAAACTGCAAGGCATACCTAATGGAAAGCTCTGTCAAAATTTATATTAGTAAGAGATTTGAGTTACGAAGTTACAGAGCTATAAAGGTTTTGATAGGGGCTGGGAAGGTGGCTCAGAGAGCGCTTGCCTTGCATGCATGAGGCCCTGGGTTCGATTCCTCAGCACCACATAAACAAAAAGAAAAGAGCCAGAAGTGGCGCTGTGGCTCAAGTGGTAGAGCGCTAGCCTTGAGCTGAAGAGCTGAGGGACAGCGCCCAGGCCCAGAGTTCAGGCCCCACGACTAGACCCCCCCCCCAAAAAAAAAGGTTTTGATAACTTGGGAATTTATAATTTTCTTTCATTCACAGTATGATTCATCCAGCCTTCCAGCTCTGTTACTTAAAGCGAAAACCTTTTTGGCTGCAGAAAACCATCTGAAAAATATCAACCAGCAGTTAGAGAAGCTCCTTGCTGGGAAAGGGACAACCAGTGACTGAAAGGCACCTGTGGAGCAAGATCTCATGGTAGTCCATTACCTTCTGAAACTCAGCTGTTTTATAAATAATGTATAGGCGAATCACTAGATGCGGTAGGTTTTTTTGTTGTTCAAACTAAGTAACACTAGTTGAAGTATCTAAGCATTTTAGAAGCTATAGTCATCTTTTCTCGTTAGTGTCTTAAGTAATAAACTTTAATAATAAACTTTAATATTGTTAACATCTAATCTTTATTTTTTTTTCTTTTTTGGTACAGGTCCTGGGACTTGAACTCAGGGCCTGGGCACTGTTCCTGAGTTTTTTTTCACTTGCTACCACTTGACCCACAGCTCAACTTCCACCGTGTGTGCGCGTGTGTGTGTGTGTGTGTGTGTGTGTGTGTACGCATGTGCTTGCGCCTCCTAAGTAGCTATGATTACAGGCAGTACTGGCACCTTGCTGACTATCCCCACGAGCTTTAACTTAAAAATATGTAAAATTAAGCTAATGTAAATGTAGACTATTTTTGGTAATCTGGAGATTTCTGCTGAATTTCAGTACACTGAAGCTAATGTTAAAATAAACTGGTTTATTTAAGAAACACTAAAACAAATAAAACTGTTGATATAATCAGGTTTAATAATAAGTTAATATCATTTTTTTTTTTCAGTTCTAGGGATTGAACCCAGGGCCTTGTACATGCTCAGCAAGTTCTATACCACTGAGCTCAAACCCCAGCCCTAATTGATTGTTATTACAAGTCACAGTCTTCAGGCAAATGACAGTCTGGTTGTAGAAGTATTGTGTGCAGTTAGCTACTCTTGTAAGACTTCTATAATTAGTTCATCAGGAATTTCGTCCTCTGTACTGTTGTAACTGAGAAGACTGTTCTCTGCAACATCAGCTAGTTCAGCATCTTCAGCCACTTGTAACAAGTAAGCATCATCACTGCCACTGTCCCAGTCAGCATCAAAAGATGCACCTGGTGATGGCTTGCAAGGTGGCGCCTCATGAGGATTCATGGGTTTCTTGTTGCCCATGTCATCTGCTATAACCTCTTCTTCCTTTATTTCAATGAGGAAGGGTGGAGGGAGCCAGCAGGATAGGAAGATAAAAGATATTTAGTCAGTAAGTCATTTTACCATACATACCAAAACAGTTTACACTGAAGTGAATATTCTAGATGAATATTAGCTTGACAACAGACTTAAGCCTCTAATTTATAAAGCAGCTACAATAATAGCAGGTGCACTACTCCATCCAGCTCTCCATTGAGCTAGTCTTGCAAACTTTTCTGCCTAGGATAGCCTTAAACCACAATCCTCCGAATCTGGACTTCCTGAGTAGCTAGGATTATAGGCACGCTTGACAAGCGCTCAGCTGTTGTTACCTCCAAGCATTTTTTAACCTAGTACGTAGTTTAGCAAGAATATGGCTGTCGGTTATTATATTACATGTATTTGTTTTATAGGAGACATCTTAAAAATTAGACTGAGTAGATACTAGATTGAGTTTTCTAGAATATAAACTTAAACTTGGTCATCTTGTAGCTGGTAGTTTATTCTAAGTGTAAAACATGTAAAAAAAAAAAGTAGTGCTGATAGATATAACTCAAAAAAATGGGGGGTATAAAATTAAGTCTGAAAATAGAACAGCATAAAACATTACTAAAATCTTGTAAAATGTTAGTAAGATATACAAAAATAGATATAGACAGTTCATAATAGAAATATAGGTGATAAACCCACAAAGTTCACAAAGAAATTTAAAAAAAAAAAAGTGAAATTTCACTTGTCTTTTTACTTAGTAGAGATGAAAAGGTCATTTCCTGTCATTTCTGTGGACAGCAATTCAGTTAATAGGTACTACTAACGTACTTTTCATACTTTAGGGGAAAATATATGGGCAAATAGCATATACATTATGACTTTTTTAGCAGTATGCAAACATAAATTATGGAAGATATATGCTAAAAAATTGATATTTGGGCCAAATTGAGAAAGAGTTTTTCCATTTTTTAATGTATTTTCTGTTGCTTTTTTTTCCTGCAAAGAGTGTAATTTGAATAAATATAAATCTTTAAGAGAAGTTAAGTGTTGAGTAATACCTGGCAGAACTTAACTTGCATGTTCCCTTTTAGTTTCAAAGATGCATCCTTCAGAAATGGTTGTTCAAAAAGACAAAGATGAGTGTTTTACTTTGTAAAGCAAAAAGGGAAAAACTTCTTAAATTCTGGGACCAGGTCCATTGAGGATACAATTTGTTATACAGCAGTAAAAAAGAAGAAGCCGCACATTGTCAGACATGAGTTGAGACAGGAAAACAACTCCAATAAGTAAGAACAGTCACTACTCAATGTTTAGATGCTATCTGGTCAAGCATGGTAGTACATGCCTGAAGTCTCAGCACTGAGGAGGTTGAAGCAATTGCAACATTAATTAGATGCCAGTCTGAGCTATGTAGCCAGATGTTATTTAAAAAAAAAAAAAAACTAAACACAGCTGGGTAATGCTCATAGGTCATTTATGATTCTGTGCCAGAAATGAATTTGGAAAGAGAAAGACAAAAAGCTGCACTTACTTCTTTGAGAAAGAACCGGAGACTGACTTCAGCAGGCAATGGAAAACCTGAATCAGATGGGGGGGTGGGGAAAGCTTTTATATAGACATCTAATTATCTCATTTTTTACTTTGTGGTAAATGTAAAAATTAAGAACTCACAGTCAGATTTGAAGTTAACTGCTTTACATACAGGGTCATGACATTTTTGATACCAAACTTCATTTTTCAGATCAACCAGAATCCTGGATATATAAAGAAAAGGAAGTATTAATGCCCATACCTGATAGAAATAAAATTCAGTTCTTTGTTATCTATAAAATGTGCCTAGCAGGAAAACATGGAATATACTGGAAGTGATTGAGTAGTGGTCACATGATAAAGATCTATATATACTCAGGAAGTGTGCTTTTTTTTAGTATGTAGATCTTTCTCAACACTGTAAAAATTCAGGTGGCTGAATACTGGTTTGGAACAAGGTTGAAACTGAGGATTAAAAAAAAAAAAAATGTGCCTAGGACTTAAAGATGGAGGAAAATCCAAGAGTTAAAGGACGACAATAGATATACAGCAACCCAAATAAACTAGTTGCTAGAAAAAGTCACAAAATGTGGAAAAATGACTAGGATCCCCTCCAAAGATGCAACAGTTCTCACCATATCCACCAAATACTTCCTCAAAAGAGGTGAGAAAAAAACTCGATAGCATTGTAAGGACAGAAAATTCACCCACAAATACAGTATCAAGTCTTTAAAAAAGTATGCTCTAGCCAGGTGCTGATGGCTTACATCTGTAATCCTACCTACTCCGGAGGCTGAGCTCTGAGGATCACAGTTCAAAGCCAGTCCCAGCCCAGGCTGGAAAGTCCATGAGACTCTTTATCTTCAATTAACCACAAGAAAACGGGAAGTGGTGCTATGGCTCACGTGGTTGAGCGCTCACCTTGAGCTGAAGGGCTCAGAGACACTGCCAAGAGTTCAAGCCCAAGACCAACAAACCAAAAAAAGTATGTTTGGTAATTTATAGATCAGTACCCACCAGGAAAGTTCAGTAATGATGCAGAAAATAGGGAACAATACTAAAGCAATTTGCAAACTGGATCTAATTGACATACATGAAGGAGCTTTCTGTGATTACCAACAACTAAAATTGACTCCATGCAAGCTATGTGAATTTTACCAAATTTAAAAGTACCTGTTTGCGGCTATGCAAACACATTCTCTGACCACAGGACAGATTTTGAAAATAACTATAAAGAAACCCATCATTTAGAAATTAAAACCATTTCTAAATAACCAATACCTCGTGAAAATATTTAGACCTGAATAAAACTGAAAATAATTACATGCTAAGTTCTGTGAAATGCAGCCAAAGTGACCTTTTTGGGTTTTGTTTTGTATTGACAGTATTGGAATTTTGAATTTAGGGCCTTGTGCTTGCTGGGTAATCATCTACTACTTCAGACGCACCTCCAGCCCTTTCATTTTGCTTTTCTGATAGGATCTTGTATTTGCCTGGGCCAGGATTATAGCACAATCCTCTTTGGTCTTCCAAGTTGTTGGGATTATAGGTGTGAGATATTAACTCAATTTTCCTATCTCTACCATCAAGTATATGGTATTATGGGTGTGAGCCACCATGCTCAACCCTTCAGTGAGTTCTTTAGAGGGAAATTTGTAGTTTTAAAAGCTTATATTACAAACCAGGCCAGTGGCTCATGCTTGTAATCCTAGGTACTTCAGAGGTTCAGATTTCTATTTTATCCTCATTCTACTATATCTTCCTATTATTTAAAATTCTATTTCTGGTTTTTATTTGTACTTTTAAGGAAATTTCTAACACAAGGCTTGGCATATAAAGCAAGCATCCAACAATGGTTCCCATCAATACCATGTTTGGTCTTGAACAAGCAAGCATCACCATACCCTCCTACATGATGCTGAGGAATTTCCTTCTTGCCTAGATCTGCTCAATTTTAATTCTGTACAGAGAAAAGGAGAGACAATCCTTCCCATCATTTCTGTTCACCTGCTTATTGCTGTCTTCATGAAGGTCAAACAAAGCTCCTGGGCTGGGAAAGTGGCTCAGTGGTAGAGCGCTTGCCTTGCATGCGTGAGGCCCTGGGTTCGATTCCTCAGCACCAGATAAGCAAAAAAGAAAAAAGCTGGAAGTGGCATTGTGGCTCAAGTGGTAGAGCCCTAGCCTTGAGCTGAAGAGCTGAGGGACAGCGCCCAGGCCGAGTTCAGGTCCCACAACTGGACCCAAAAAAAAAACCAAAAAACAAAGCTCCTATGTGCTTGGAGCAATGTAAGAACTAAGTTAAATATTATAGAAGAGCCAAGTGTAATACACATAAATTTAATTCAACTTGTTACAAAAACAAGAAATTTTAAATCCTCAACTATATTTAAAAGTTATAAATATGACATCAGTTGCTGGTGGCTCATGCCTATAATCCTAGCTACTGAGGAGTTTAAGATCTGAGGAATGCAGTTCAAAGCCACCCCAGGCAGGAAAGTTGGTGATGTTCTTTCTCTCCAATTAACTAGCAAAAAGCCAGAAGTGGAGCTGTGGCTCAGGGGGTAAAGTGCTGGCCTTGAGCAAAAAAGCTCAAGGACAGCACCCAGGCCCTGAGTTCAAGCCTCAGGATACCAACAACACACACACACACACACACACACACACACACAAAGTCACAAACATTTAAAATATAGTATTGGCTATATACATACAACTCATCAATAAGCATGATATTACTGCA